ACCACGATAGGACTGGACACTGGGCTAGTACATAAGTGTCTTGGGCCGTCCAAATATCCTCAAACACCCCAGGTATGCACGGACCTCTGTCTTCTTCCTGTTGAACAAGGGTAAGTAAGTGGATTGGTGAGTACATAATACACATATGCCACACACGCAGTCCTACAGACGACACCACTGCTACAAAACCTCGGGGACTCCATTAGAAGCTGCTGGTCGGAATTAGACATGATGTACAGAATGCAGACCGACCGTTACATCAACGCTCGTTTAAAACGAGCAGCTGCCCTCTCACAAAGCTAGGGTCGGCTCAATACGTCATCCGCCCATTACGCAACACCCTCAGCAAGTTGCCTCCCTCTCCCCTACTCTCCCATGGAACGTGTCTCGATATGCAAATGTTACCCAAACAGACCTGCGCGTTCCCGCCAAACAGATGCCGAAGGTGGAGAGAACTATAGCATTACCTCCGCAGCTACCACCCCCCAGTGAGTTGTGGGGGTAGAAATTAACTTTTAATTGTGTCCTGAAAAGTTTCACATCTTTGAACGGTCAACGTCCCGCTAGGAACATCTGTAGGGATCCAAACTCAAGTGTGATGAGTTTCTGTGACAGAAGAAACTAATAAACCTTTCCATTTCTTCCCAGACGGCGGTCTTCTTTACTACGTCATCTAGCAGCTGCTTTAAGACGTTAAATATGAACAGCTTTCAAATTTAACTCACAAGGCTAACGTCATAGTTGTTGACAGATTGAAAGAAAATCTACCAATGGCTGAAAACATGACAGGTCAAAACGTGTCTATTATTTAACCGTGTTCAGCTTTCGAAGTTCAAGACATGGTGGTAAGGACACGTTGGAAGCGTTTATTTTGATGCTTGAAGGTTTAAAACATGTCTGTACTCTTGCTAAACAGATACCAGCTAGACCTTCCCACAAGAAAAGCCAATAAAATAATTCAAAGCTCGACTTTTCTACCTGTAATAGTGAAGTAAAAAACATATCATGTTGTATTCTCAGAAAGCTTGAGTTGAGTGGTTGCACCAGCTAGACTTTCCCACAAGAAAAACTAAAAAAATCATTCAAAACTTGGCTTTTCTACTTGTAATAGTGAAGTAAAAACATATCCTCAGCTGTATTCTCAGAAATCTTGAGTTGAGTGGTTACGTAACACCAGCTACACTTTTCCACATACAAGAAAAACTAATAGAAATCATGCAAAACCCATTTTTCTACTTGTAATAGTGAAGTAAAAACATATCCTCAGCTGTATTCTCAGAAAGCTTGAGTTGAGTGGTTACGTAACAAAACCCTTCCCGTGAAAGAAAACAAACCTTCACAATCACGCAAAAGGCGTATAAATCTGTCACCACTCACTCCACTGTAGTACCGCGTTTACAACCTGACAGCACACCGGGTCAAGTTGACCAGGTTTTGCTTAGTTTACGCCTCAGCTCTGCAGGACAAGTTCATTCATACTTGAGTACAGCTTGGCACGTAGTCAAACTTGCCGTGGACGTGCCAAGGACTATAGAAATTCCTCCGTCATCATTCTTTTTTGTGTGTGTATGGATTAGCCTGATGAATGCCCAGCAAACTAAGCAATATATAAAACGTGGCTAATATGGAAGTCATTGTTTATATGGTTTACTTGAGCCACTTTGGTCTCTCTACATATATATTTGCAGAAGATATAATGTATAACATACGAGTGATGACAATATGAAAAAATTCCCTATGTATTTTACATTGACGATGTTTATTCAACACAAAACAAATGGCTGGTACTAAAAATAAAAAAAAATGTATGGTGGTCTGTCCCTTTTTATTTTAACTAGCCTTCAATGTCGCCCTTTAGAGTACAATAGACTATACGAAGAAGTCAAACAAAACGACAATAAGAATTCCTTTAGATCTATGAGAAAAATTACTAAAGCCTTCGGAAAAAAACAAACCGAGAAGATAGTACTGGTTTCCCTCGGCTATCTATATACTTGCCTATTATTGTGTTAACTATATATACATTACATGTACTTTGTAGATTGTAGACAAGATAAGTTTCCCAGATTTCGACATTTAGGCAAACAGAAAAATCTGTATTTTTTTTTATGGAAGTAGAGAAACCATGTAGAAAATGCATGAAAATTTATTGCTTATGTGTATGAAGTATCAGAATTCAGAAACAATGGTTGTCATAACCCCAGTTCGGCCTTGCGCTTTCATATGGGTGCACTTGATGCGTGCTGCACCGTGTCTTGGCCCCAGCCCAACCTCGTTAATGTGTGC